CAGAAACACACACGCACGCACACTAAAGGATGTTAGAACATCCTATCCAACATCCTTGGAAAACAATTGCAAGAATAGACTCAAGACTAACATGATGGACAATCATGCTCTCCCTAAAGTGTTGCATAAAGAAAACAACACTTGACTAGACTCAACACACCTTTTCTCCTCCTTTTTATCCAAAAATTGACAAAAATAGAGTGGAAAGAAACTGACACACAAAGAATCAATAAAAGAAATAATTGATTCAAGACAAACAAGAGAAGACTCAAACTGACTCAAAAGAAAGGAAGAAAATAGAACTCACCCAAAGAGAATCAAGCTAAGGATAAAAAGGAAAGAAGAAAAAAAACTCACTTATACAAAACTAAGACAAAAACTAACGAGATGAAGGAAGGAAAGAAAAGAAGACAAGACTCTAATAGACTGACTCAACAAAAAAAAACACAAGAAAAAACACATCTTTTTTGTTTTTTTTATATTAAATATATACAAGATAGAAGATACCTGCTATCCAAACCTCCCTCCTGAGTCAATGCACTTGACCCAGTCTTTATCAGCATCTAAATTTGAATCATGTATACGAACCTGATTCTTCCTCAAGGATTTCATCTCTACCACAAATGTTTTCCCTGTCCAGAATGCTTCAGTTGATGTTCCAACATTAATTGCACTGTTGAAATCAACCTTCTTTGGATCACTGCTTTTATCCTTGAAGGATTCTAGCAGATGAACCTTCTTAGTACCAGTAACTCTAGAATATTTGCTCATGAAGAAACGCAGCAAATGAGGATTTTGAGGTAGATGTTAATTAAAGACAAGAAGAGTTACTTTGATTGTAACGAAACTTTACTTGTAACGATGACTCAGACAATGTAAACATTATTGGAAGAAGATATAATCTTCTTGAGTAACAGTGAACCTTTCACAATAGGAGAGAGACACGTTCTTGTACAACTTTTTCTCTTTTCAACATTTTGACTGTTGACAATGTTACAACATTTGAAATGATATTCTTCATGCTATTGAAAATGCTTTTTATGAGACTGCATACTTCACAAGGATAGTAGATAGAAACGTCCAAACAGTATCCACCAAAATTCTTCAGTAGTGCAATACCAAAAATACCCTTCATCTTCTCAATGTAACTTACACCTCAAGTTACAGGAATACTTCCTAGAGCTTCCCAGATGTACCAGGTTTAGGAGATTCAAACCTTGCTTGTAACAAAACCCTTGACACAATGTTAACTTAAACCCATGACTTTATTCTGTAAGCAGAACATAATCCTTGAGTATCTTCATTGTATTGGCTTGTCACATTACAATGTCATATTACGATGTCATGACATTCAGGTTGACATTGTACTTTCTTAGTAACTAACCCAATTGAAAACACATATTTCTTCATAAATGTACCTAATCTTCAGAATATATCAGGATTCAATTAATTCTAATCCAAGTGACCAGAATATCCTCCACTAATACAATTTTCTTCAGACTTGGCATACAACTTTTTACTCTGAGACTTATGATCATTCAATATTTCATCTCTGAAACACTTGATGAACATAGACCAAAACCAACTCCAAATAATGAACTCTCTATAAAAAAATGTTTTCTTGAGAACTTCCTTATTCAGTGTCTCCCAATCCTTTGGAATCTTTCACAATTTGGAGTACCAAACTGTTGAGATGATGTTCCAACATATGGTTGAACATCAATACCTTTCTCAATGAACACATCACTAATTTTGATCCTGAAGTTACTCGTTACAAAAAAAAAATCTCAAGTAGCTCAGAAATATACCTTGTTCTCATCCAAGGAGTAGATAAGAACCTTCGAAGACCTCATAAATAATAAATTTACTTTGTTATAGGACACAAAAGGAAATGATATATACCTTTCTATCCACCAGGACCCCCATCTTGCATAGAACCAAGCAAAACCATATAATAGGTTCTAGAGCTTTTGCAACTGTCTGATGCTTCACCTTTTGGTGTGACATCCTGGCTTCTTCTTTATTGAATACCAAGTAAGAGAATAAACAATTAAATACTTGTGAAATTCACAAATAGAAATCGTTCTTAAATCCTCTGAGGAACTTCAAACATCTCATTAGAGATATAACATTCTTCCTTGATGGTATATACCATCAGACCTTGATCACAATAGTCATTAGTTCTTTAGAAGAAGAGAAACCAATTACCAAAACTTAGAGAATCCATCCTGAATTCATTAGTTATCCAATGTCCTTAAAACTTCCCTTTTGGCATCATCAACAAAGTAACATTTGATTAGAATGAGACTTAAAAAAACCACCAGAAACACTTTTACTACAGTTAAGTGTCTGGAGCAACTAGTGTCAAGATACCAGTCGTCTTAGTTGGAGATAAAAAAAAAAGAGATAAGGCAATAACACATTCCCTGAATATTAACCACTGCTTGGTTAAACAAAATTGAACTTGACCTTGAGAAAGTAATCAAAACTGTTAAAATCAACTTACCACAGAAGAGATATCTTCAGTGCAAGTATATGCTAGTAGCAGAGTAAGTTGATGTCCAACACAATGTTAAGACATTAAGATTGACATCTTTAACTCAGTTTGCCTTTTGATAAACCAATCTTTTGTTACTTTGAGTTTTCCCTTTGCCTATTATATCTTGAAAACCCAAACACTTCCAACAATCTTTCCACTTGAGGAACCTTCTTCAACATAACTAAATTATCCTTACATACTTGATTCTTTGATATTAAAATTTTTAGGATTGATAGAGTCACTTCAGCTTGCAAGTTATAGATGGTAGACACTCTTTCATTCTCTTAAGACATAAGATCAGAGACAAATTATCGTCTACTTCTTCATGGTTGATAACACCTTTTTATTCTAGATACACAAATCCCTGAATAAAGCATCCAACACATTATGAGATAATTCTTCAAAACGAAAATCTTCATTAGAAATCCATCTTCCAGTCAGACCAGAAATAGAGAATCCACACAACGAATTCTTGAGATAGATAGGGAAATTTTTTCGACAAGAAATCCAAGACCTTCACACTCATATTATTGAATGTTTGACATTAAGTGGATTTGTTTCCAGCTCCAACTTGTCTTGAGCATTACAAACTTGTTGATGTTAGTACAAATATTTTGAACATTTGGTCCAAACATCTTTTCCATTCTTCTCAAAGGTTGATTGGATTGTCTTCCAAGAAACACAACAATAAGAAAACTTTTATTGGAGACTAGAAAACAAGCTCTTGTAGAGTTGAAAGCAAAAATAAATTGCTCTTGTCTTTCTTCAATGGCTTGTGTCGCTCTGTAGCTAAATATAGCGATAAAAATTTGAGACTAAACCATTAATTAACTTAACTCACACAATGAAGTCGTCACCGTACTTTATTGTTTCCAAAGAAGAAGCAAAAAAAAAAAGCGAATAAAACCCAAAATGAAAATAGAGATCAAGGTACAAATATCGGTTATGTAAAGGGAAAGTATTAGCATCCTAAACATCTACAGTACTCTGTAGGATCCACTTTGTTTATTTTAATCAGAGAGTGTGTTATATAAAGACTTACTAGCTAGGGGGAAAGAATGAATGAATAATTACCAACAAAAAAATGTTTTTCATTATTGAGATTGTCACGGTTGTGAACCTTTGTACCTACGTACCTCTTTCGTGCAATAAGGGATCATGGAACTCGTAGTTCTCTCAAAAAGAACAAAACTCTGTGTTGGTTGATTTTAAATGAAGAGACAAATTGTCATTTTCAGAAGAGAAATCTCAACTAATCGCCCACAAGGTATATGAAAGAGGGACAATAACATGAGTGAGAATTTAAGAACACCTCTAATACTCAAGTGAAAAAGTCGACATCCTTACAACCACGGAGATAGAAAAATAACATCTCGATTATGAATGACTCATGTCTTATCCTGAAAAAGATTTTAAAGGAGAAAGGGTGCATGTGGGCACAAAAAGATTTGAATGAGTTGAAGTATTTCGTTAGCTTGAAAAAAGATTTGCAAATTAAATCGTAATAAAGTCTAAAAACAGAAAAAAGAGCAAGGTTCCAGAATATACCGCCTCACTAATCCCCATAAGACTCAATTGCACATGATTCACATCTTTATTTGTAAAGTGTTTTAAATTTTGATTAAGAAAAAAAAGGTTTGAAAAGAAAAAGTCACTTGACAAAGTCAAGATTTATTAAAAAGCGGCTAAAATTTATTAAAAACAAGAAGGTTTTGAAAAAATGAGAAGGTTTTGAAAAAATGAGAAGGTTTTGAAAATTGAAGAATGAAAGGAGATGAAGAGTATCCTATGTACAAGAAAGTAAAAGATAAATAAAGAAGGTGGGAACAAAAGGAAGACGACACTTAACATAATAAAGTCAATAAGAATTCTCATCCTTTGAATTAAGCCACCAGCAAATAAATAAGTCAAGAGTATACCGAATATCATGTGAAAATAAAAATCACAAGCAGACAACGCATCAGGTGAAAATAAAATACAAGTGGAGAAATTGCACTAGGTAAACTCAAGGTGTCAGATAAAGCTCAAAGTATCATCAAGATATCAGATAAGAATCCATGCATCAGATAAAATGCACAGACAGAATCAATGACATCGAGAAACCACCCAAAGTCTCAGATGAAATAAGAATCAAGTCTGAAGGAGTTAGAACAATGTATCGTGAAAATATGAAGTGGATGTTGAATCAATTAATTAAGAGTTAATTAACTTAATTAATTTAGTTAAGAAAAATAAATTAGTAAATTAATCTATTTTAATTAACTAAATCAAGTAACTAAATCAACATCTAATTAATTGATCAAAGTGAAAAGATAAAGAAAGACGGAGGATGAAATAAAGAGAGAATCAATTAGTTAAATATTCATTAAATCAATTAATGAAGTTAAGAAAAATAAATTAGTAAACTAATACATTTTAATTAATAAGCATCAATTAATTAAAACAATATAGAACTAATGAATTAAAATGAAAATAGATATAGGAAGTAGAATGGAATTGTGAGGAGAAAGGAACTTGAGAACTCTTGTAAGCTTGCACAAACCATAAACACGTTAGTAACCACAAGTGAATTGAAAACCAAATGAAACTCGAATCGAATTGCATGAACAAATGAATATTTCTCAATCAAAAACCAAGAAAACAAATTATTATTCAATGCAACCACAAAGGTCAGCATTTAACACATGATTTCAAGTGTATTCAATCAAGTAAGCCAATCAAGTAAGCCCAAGAGTAAACATGATTTCCAAACCATAGATGAAACAAGAATCAAAAAATCATGTTATTACTCGAAATACATACCAAAATCAGCATTGTACACATTGATCAAAACATGTTAAAAGTCAAATAAGCTCAAAAGCAATCAAGACCTTCCAACAAAAAATCAAGAATTCACATTTTTACTCACCAGAACACGAAAAATCAGCATTCAATACATTGTTACAAACATGTTCAGAGTCAAGTAAAACACAAAGGTAAACATGATTATCAATTCACAAATGAAACAAGAAGTCGATAACTCATGCTATAATTCAATTCAAATTCAAAACATGGGAAATCGATTTCAACACAAGATTTATTCAACTAAACCAAATTTCGGGCTGCCACTACACCAACCTATGAACATTCAATGAAATCCATCTCAAACGATCGAACATGAACGAGAAAACATAGTGATGCCACAAACAAGCTAATCTCTAATTCAAATCAAATTGCACAACAATGTTACCCAAATCCCCTTCCAATATGATTCAAACAAATATGACACAACACTAAATTCAACTCAAGATTAAAATCACGAATAGAATTGTCATTGCAAATTGAAATCGAGAGCCTTGCGAATTTATCACAAACAAAACATAACATCAACAAGAAAATCAAACTCCGGTTTCAATACCAAAACGAAATGCCAACACGATAATTTCTATATTCAAATTAACACCAAAAACGGGTGATGCGGTGATGCTAGCAACGCTTGTCATTTACAAAAAATAGCACGAAATCACTCAAAACCTTGACATGATTTAACACCGAAATCAACGTTTCAAGATCTCATCTCAGATTCAAACGACATAACGAATATAACTCGAAAACACAACATATCAACGGTTAGAAATTAACACAGGATTTTCACATCAGCAGTTTGACATCGAAACCAACTCAGATTTGCAGAGTTTATCACAGGATCTCAGGGCAACGGTTCAAACTCAACAAATATCACAATGTTTTTTTCATAAAAAATTAACACAAACTGCAACACATCATTATTCACAGTATCACAGAAAATTAACACAGAATTATTCCACAACATAACGAAATCGAGAATTACCGAATGAACTAATGGCGAGAACGATTAGAGAGGCTCGTGCTATGCTCTCTCTATACTTTTTGTATTCTTATTTTCCGAATAGAATCGGTGATTACAACTGAAATGGTGGTGAAGTGAAGGGTACCTTGAACAGAAGCTGGAGGATGGATTTTGATGAGAAGCTGAGGGTGTTAACGGAAAATGGTTAAGATGATGATGGTGGTTCGTGAAAAGGGTTGTCACGGTGAAGGTCGTGGGAAGCAAAGTGACCGAGAAGAAAAAAATGAAGATAGAATCTGGTCAGTGGAAGAGAAATGGAAACGGTGGAGAGGAAGAAGAAAGAAAGATGAAGGAACTTTGTGATTTTTTCGTTTTCTCTGATGTACAAAACTGATCTGCCCCCAAAGCTGCTACCGCCCAATCACTCTTATCCACAAATTGTTTATCTCCTAAAATTAGGTTTACACCAAATTAAATAAAATAAACAAAATAATTTTTATAATAATTCTAAAACTAAAACTAAAAATTAATTAAAAGTAAATAAAATAACTAAAGGAAACAAATATTTTTATATATATTTTTTAAACAAAAATTCTCAATTAAAAATAAATAAATAAACACTTTTTTTTTTATATTTGAAAACAAAAATTTAATGAATATTTATCTAACGATAACAAAGAATATATATACATATATGGATTAAATCAAAAACAAATGCAAATGTGTGTCGAAATGCAAATATGCGAATAAATATTAATTTGGATAAAAACAAAGTGAATGAGATAAATTCGGGATAAAATTTAGGGTGCAACAATTTGTCACTTTCATGTCAAACCTCTAAAGTAGATACCTAAGAATCTTCTTCTTGATCAGACTCACATCTGAACACTTTTCTTCCAAACACACTTAGATGTACCTTTATGAGTGAACTTGAGAAATTTCTCAAGTATCTTTGACCACAATACAAGTGATGTACAGTCTTAAAAAAACACTTATCACATCCATAAATTATGGTATTGACAACTTCAAATTCATAGAGACCCAACAAATGCTCTTTTCTTATGAATTCTCAAACACTAGGATTTTTTCAACCTGATAAACTTCACGGTTCTACAGTCCATTGATTACCAGAATGGTATCACTGTAGATTTCCCAAAAGACACATAGCATCAGAAATATACCTCCCTGAAACTCACCCAATTGACCAGGACATCTGCTCTGATACAAATTAAAATTTCTGGTACAAACAACACACATATATCCCAACATCAGAATGATGTTAAGACAGGTGTTACAATATTTAGTAACAGACCAGATCAATTAAGCTATAAGCGATGCAAAAATAAAAACTGCAAAATAATAAATAATACATAGAGTTGTTAACCTAGTTCGGTGCAACATCACTTACTATGGGGACTACCAAGCCAGGAAGAAAGTCCAATATAAGCAGTATTAATTCAAAGCTAAACAATCCCAGTTTACAACTTCTCGCCTAATCCGTATCCAATGCAACTTCTACCTAGGACCTCCTAGATATGAGAAATCGCCATCCCACTTCCTAAATCACATCAGCGATATCTAACAGTCACAATCCCAATAACTACAACTAATACAACACAATTTAGAAGATTACACTTCAAATACAAAAACTCAAATTCTTACTTAAAAGCTTCGAGTGAGAACAATAACTTGACTAATAATCAAGTAACAATCATTTGACCACATAATATCAAAAGATACATTGATGACTTACAAACTACACAAGAAACTCTCAAAACCTAAGACTTATGCTTCCCCTAATTTACAATTATTGAAAACTTAAATTACATTAGGTTATGATTCCTCTTTAAATACAACTCTACAGTCCATGGGCTTCAATATTCTGCATCCAGAAGTTTCTTAATCCATAAGCTGAGTGATGCACTAATTGTGTAATAAATCTCCTTAAATCTTGGAACGACCAATACAAAGTTTCCTAAATTGTCTCAAGGTCCAATTTAGTAACCAATGCACAGCTGGATATACAAATCTTCTTGACATGCGAAAATATCTGATATATATATATATATATATATATATATATATATATATATATATATATATATATATATATATATATATATATATATATATATATATATATATATATATATATATCCAAAGGAAATATAACAGAATCAAGTCAAATCTGTCAAGATTTAAAAACAACAGCACATGTCTATTGTATATCAGAACAAGATATTATGACATATTATTCAACATCTGGTCAGAACCATGTTTTAGCAAAATGTTTCCAATCCACAAACCATGGTACTAACAGATATATTAGCATTATTGCCATACATCATCATAACCAATATTCTTGCATTATTGCCAGACACCATCCTTATCATTTTGTGCAAAAACTTAAAGTTCATAAAGCTAACATCTTTTCTATCATTGTTGTCTGGTATAACGTCATCAGGGCCTCACTTTCTTTGAGAACACTGGTGTCTGAATGAGGAGGTTCCACACCTAAAATGATTAGTAGAATTGTTCTCATTATTAACTTGATGAGGATTTCTATCTTCACTGGAGTTGTTAACATCATTGATATTAATAATAACATTGATATGACCTTTATTAGAATTATTGAGACCATTCTTTTTATGCACATCATTGTCCTTGTGCTCTTCTTAAGTGGATATAACTTTCTTACATTATGTGATTGAATGACCAAAATTCTTGTAAAAATTAAAAAAGTTAGAGAGCTTTTTCATATTCAATATCAACATAAATAACCAATCTTTTCCACTTATATTTTGTCTCGTAATTGACTAGAAAGATCAACATCAACCAATATTCCAGCGTAATGACCAAAACACTTATCAAACATGGACTTACTCATGTTGTTATCCAGATATATGTGCTTACCCACACTACTAGCAATATCATATATGATATTTGGCCTCTAATATTCCTAACTCGATCCAATAACATGAGTTAAGTGTTAATTTGACGTTGCAAATTAGGGTCAAAGTCTTAACTCCATGTGAATAGCTTCAAATAATCATGATTAATATTCAATGAGTGTATCAATTTCATGCTTATGAGATCCTCAATTGAGGAGAAGGAAAATTCATAACAACCTTTACAAAGAGAAGTGATACCCCATTTACCTAGGTAAGACCACATAGCAAGAAGCTTGGACCACAAGGCATCTGATTTTTAAGGTGTAGCACCCTTAGAGCATATCATACGACCATGGAGAATGTCCTTGCAAGTTTCATAATAAGATATTCATCTTTAAGCATAGTGATAGCAAGTTAGTTACCTTTAACGCAAGGCTTAAGAAGTTAACTAAAGGCATAACACAAACATTATTATCGAGAGCTTGAGCAAAATATTTGATCATGCCTTTTGCTAGTTGGTTATATTGTTAGCAGCTAAGAGGGAGTTTATCAAGGTAAGACCATAACAAGACATACTAACTCATATAAGTCATGATACAACTGCGACAAAAAAAGTCATTAAAATATCGTTGATTGATCAAAAATAATGATAAGCCTTGTAAAATCACAAAGGTCGAGCACGTTGAAAACACATTGAAGATTGGACTTTACAAAACTTAGAGAAATATGTTAATAGAATGGACGTTGGATATGCCAATATAAATGAAAAATCAAATTCCTTTGATCGGAAACTATTACTAAATGGCACACTAAGAAAAAAGAAAGTGCAATTCCTAAAATTAAATTTTAGATTTCTAAGATTCACAATGATAGAATAAAACAACATCTAACAACCCTAGTTGCATCAATGATTTTCATTCCTCTCCGTGTTCTATTCTTCAACATCTTAAACTCAAGGTCATGAAAACATGAGACCCT